CCATTTAAGCCCCTGGCGGGCTGGGGCCAGATGGCACACAGACCCTGGGTGAGGTCATTGGCTATCCTGAGTGCCACCGAGCCCGGTGGCTAATTTGCGCCCTCAGAGATGGGGCAGGGAGCACCAGGGGGCCTTGAGGATGGTGGGGCTGGGGGAGAGGTGGGCTCAGTTCCAGGCACAAGAGGCCAAGGGCCCGTGAGAGGAGGGTGGAGGCCCTGCCTTATACAGGGAGGGGACCTGCAGCCGTGAGTGGGGACTGGGCAGGGTGGGGGGATCCACTGGGGCTCAAATGCCTACATGACACCACGTCACCAAGCAAGGTGGACAAGGCTCTGGGTGTCCTTTTAGTATGGGACCCTGCGCTCTCCAGGGCAGCTGGCCTGGAGGGGTGGAGACTCCAGATCAGAATAAGCCACGTCTCCAGCTGACGGATGGAGAGCCAGCCCAGCACCCAGCCTGCAGGAATGTGACCTCTACACTGTTACAGGGCTCCCCGGGCATCCCTTGGTGTGGCTTTTACTTCTTGGGCCCCCTCCCAAGTACAAACGGAACCTCAAGTTCCAAGATCGAGACTGCTCCTCCAGTGGGGGCACTGGCCCCTGTCCCCTCTGCCAAGCACCTTCCAGGCCATGCCTGGCCGTCCACCTCACTGTCTCCCCCACCAACCGCCCTCCCACCCCTAGGCCTACGGCAAGTCTCTGCTGCCCTGGGGAAGAAACTGTCTCCTTGTTCCCCCAGTGGGCAGCAAGCCGAGCACTCCTGCCCACCCACCACCCTCCAGTGACAGCATGGGGGCCTCCCCCTCCCCCTTGGGCCCAGACCAGCACTGCCAGGGCTCAGCCGCCAGGTGGGGGTCATCCTTGCCCCTTGAATGCCCCGCAGTCCACTCTGAACCTCGGGGCCCTCAGCCCCCGCTCTGCCAGTGACTGCAAGGGAGTCTCTGTTTGACGAACACTGACTGAGCGCCTACTACGGTCCAGGCGCTGGGGCCGCAGAGCTGTTTAAAACAGTGCCTGCTCCTAGACAGCTCCCTCTTGAACATGTCTCGCTTCCCACCTCTCTGGCAACACTGTCTCCAGCCGAGCAGTAGAGTCACCCAGACAACCCCCATATTCTGTGCCATCCCCGCCAGGCAGGGCTGTTCCCCAATCACAGACACCACACCGTAGGACACAGGGGCCGTATCCCCAGGCACGCGTCTGGGGAACAAGATGTGAGACAGACAGGCAGGCAAAGCAGCCACAGTGGACGGGGAAGAGCCTGGGCAGGTGAGGGAGGAAGGCCCAGCCCCATGAGGCAGACCGTGCGGGGTCCCTCAGCAGCGGGAGGAGGTCTGGGCCGAGCGGGTGCTGGAGCCCAGTAACCAGTCCGGCCCAGCCCCACGCCACGACAGCTAGGCAGCCAGGGTCAGCCGTCTGTCTGTCCATGCATTCACCCGCCAGTCACCTGCCCTCTCCATGCTAGGAATGTTCTCTTTCCAAAGCAGCTGCCCACCTCTGGGGAGAAGCTCCAGGCTTGGGGGCACCCTGAGCCCACCCTGCCAGGGAAGGGATTAGGAAGGGGCTGTGCTCTCCGTCCAGCTGCCTGTCTGCCCACCCTGAAAACTCGTCATTTCCTTCTCTGCTCAAAACACCTGCCACCTGCCCATGGTGTCTGGCACTTACAACAGGCCAGCCAGCTCAGGTGGGCAAACAGCTGCAGCTGAGACCGGGGGACCAGTCCAGCCCCAGCCCCCAGACTATGGATGGGGCATGTTCTACTTTCTGAGAGCCTAAGAGAGGACAGACAGACAGGTGGACACGCATGCCTTCCTTCGAGTGTGCCCTGCCCCTTCAGGTGCCAGGCCATTGGCAGTGCGCACTCACCCGGGAGATAGTGAGGGGCATGTTGAAGTCCTTGCCCCCCTGCAGACGGAAGCCCCAGGGCCCGGGCCCGGTCAGGGTCACACTGTAAGACATGCTGGTGCTCACAGCGGCCGCCTCTGTGGACAAAGGGCAGAAAGAGTTGAGTGCGAGGGCACTCTCGCACCTGGCACCCCAGCCCACACCTCTGCCCCTGTCCCCCGACCCCCAGCCTTGCCTGCTCCGTCCCTTGCTGCCCGGCCAGGCTGTGCGGAGCTCCTGAGAGGCTCCTAAGAATAGCTGGGAGCGAATGCCATCGACACTGATATCTGCCCTCGGCTGCGCCCATAAATGGACTGTAACCCTACACCGTGCCCGCCCGCCCGCAGCCTCCCAGCCGGTCCACCGTGACTCACACGGCTAATATAGCCCCTGGGGAGGGGTGTCCAGCACCCAGCACCCCCCAAGGGGAAGGAAGGAGGGACTGAGTAAGTCAGTGATAGTGCTCTGGTCCCCTCCTCCCTCTGGAGAGCCCAGATACTCCCTCTCTGTGCTCAGTGGGACCCACCCCCTTGCCTAGGAGACAGTGGGCTGAGCCCCTTGGGCAGGGGCTTTGCTGCCCTGTGCTCCCTGTCCAGGACTCTGAGGCTGTGCCTTATCCAACATGGGGTCCTGAAGGTGCCTAGGACTGAGCTGAGCCTCCAGCTGGTCTGGAAGAAGCTTAAGCTTAGACCTGTGATTGGCCCAGGCTCGTCCAGCCGTAAAGGTGATCATACAATAGCAGCAGCCCTGGGCGCAGCCAAGCTCAGCATGGAGCCTTCATGCCGTTACTGCCTTGGACCCTGAGGGCCTGCCACCTTGGCCTGCAGGAGACAAGGCTCAGGGAGGTTAGATGACTTTTCCAAGGTCACATGGGTTGGACCCAGGCTCTTGCCTATGGGACTCATGCCAGAAAGTGAGCTCCCAGAGGGCTGCAGACACCTTCCAGAGCCCTGGCCCTGGGGGACTGGGCCCCTGCCTACACCCCTTGGCATAGGGTCTGAAGGCGGGTCTGGGGCAGGCCCACTGCACACCCCCCCACCCCCCCACCGGCCCCCTGGGGACCCAGCCAGTTGTTCCTGGCTTTCCTGTCTCATTCGTGCTCTGGAAAACTTGACAGCAGCATGGAAAGCTCCAGCTGCCAGTGCTGCAAGCCAGGCCCCGTGCCCTTTGCACAGGAATGGCAGGGGGCAGGGAAGAGAGGAGGAGATACCACTTGCTCAGCTGCTAGGACACAGGGCTAGAGGGGCAGGGAGGGGGAAGAGTGTGTGGTGTGTTCAGCCCATACCCAGAGACAGTGTGTTCTGGGTGGGAGCCTCAGTCCCTCAGGACTCCTGCCAGTGTGGTCTTTGGACCAAACCACTTCCCAAGAAAGACCTCAGGACCTGTGTGGTCTAGAAATAGATCAAGGCCCGCCCTGGCTCCCTGGCTAGGGAAACTGAGGCTCAGGGAAGGCAAGTGGGTTGGCTGCTTGCTGGGCCTCTCGAAGGGCTCTGAGCTGGGCCCCGAGGAGTCAGTGCAGGCCTGGGTTGAGTAATTTCCCTGCTGTGGGCCCTCCAGCCTCACACCTGGGGCCTGGCACACGCAAGGCACATGGCAGGAAAGCCCACATTACAGGGTCATTTGGTAACTTGCCCAAGGTGACAAAAATATCAAGTGGAAGAAGCCGGGGAGGGACCTGTGTTCTCCTCTCACTTCACCACCTCCTCTGCCCTGTGCCATGCAGCCCAGCCTGTCCTCCCAGCCTGTGCTGGCCCAGGAGGCCAGCAGCTCACGGCCGGCACCCGTGTCCCTTCTCCAAACCATTCCCTGCCCCTCCCGGCAAGGCCCCTGCCATCCATTCCTAGCAGCAGCCTTATCCCCTTTCCTAGGGGTGTCCGTCCTGCCCGGCTGGGGAGCCCCCGGCAGCAGGACGTGACTGGTGTGGGGAAGGAAGGCACCAACCCTGCATGGGGAGTGGGAGCCCGGGGGAGGCTGTACCTGGAGCTGCAGGCTCTTTCTCTGGACTCTGGCCCTGCCTGATGCTCGCCTCTGGGGAAAGGGAGGGGTGGCAGGAGGATGCTCTTAAAGGGGAAAGCTGGCCTCCCTCCATCTGCCTCCCCTGGGAGACCCGAGGCCAGTCGGAGAGCAGCTGGTACCCATGGCGGGGCGGGGCTCAGCAGCTTCTTGGGGATTGGGGGTGGGGGCCAGCCTGGCCTTTGTCCCTCCTCTTCTATGTCCTCTGCAGTCTGAAGTGGGCTTTCAGAGTGAGAGTTCAAGCTGGGGGACAGAGGAAAGGGAGGAAGCGAAGCTGCCGGAGGCATCAGAGGCCAGTCCCTGCTTCTCTCCCATCACAGCACCAACAGGAAGAGACGTTTGTCCGAGGAGACCTTCTCTGCTTTTTATTTTCCTCTACCCCGTCAGAGCCACGCAGCCCTGGGACGAACTCGACCACTGATTTGAAACAAATCGCAAGTGCAGAGTGTGCACGTGTGTGCGCCGTGTGCGTACACATAGGTACCTATGGGAGTGTCTGCAGATGCCGTGTGACCGAGAGTGTGGGCTGTGGCGGGAATGTGAGCTGGGGGACGAAGCCCGCGGTGAGTAACTGTTTCCAGTGCGCAAAGCGAGCGGGAGCCTGAGCTGGGAGAAGCAGCCCGCGGTGAGTAACTGTTTCCAGTGCGCAAAGTGAGGGCCATGCTCGGCTTCGACTGCTGGCAGTGGGAGACGCAGGGCTGGCCTTCCAGTGCCAGTGACATGCCCAGCCTGGGCACAGAGGCTGGCCCAGATGCGTCGCTCATAAATAGCTGGTGTCCCCCGGAGCCATCACCATTGTCTTCCCTGGACAATTGTAGCACACAGCATTTGGGGAGGGGCAGGCGACTCCAGGGAGCAGGAGGGCCTGGGCACACGCTCTTCGGGCTGAGCCCAGGGTGCAGCTGCCGAGCTGGGAAGTGGTTGCAGAGCACGTAGCCAGGCAGGAGAGGTGTGAGGAGGGGACGCGGGGCTGGGGCTGTGAGTCCCGCACAGCGCAGGTGACAGGGCCACTTCCAAAGTCTGCAGGCTCACAGGGTAATCCTGGGTCTGTGTGTATGAGGGGGCTGGACATGTCCCAGAAGAAAGGGGGAACCAATAGGCATCCTATATCCTGGGGTCCATGCAGGGGAGCAGCCCCTTGGTCTGCAAACAAACAGCACACATCCGTTTAGCCCGAGGAGCACCCCGCCGGGAGCAGTCTCCCGATGACCAGCCACACCTGGATCACCGAGAGGTGAAGGGAGGTGGCGTGGAAGGGCCAGCTTACGTCCTGGGTCAGGGGTGGGCCTTCCCAGAGACCACATCTTGAAGTAGGAGCCAGCAATGTCTAAGGCTGCCTGCAAAGTGTCTCCTGGGATGGTCCCCAGGCTCTCGGACTCCCAGGGTATGCACCAAGTTCACCCTCACCCCATCATCCAGTTCCCTCTGGCATCTCCTCTCACCCCTGCTGCCCTTAAAAGAGTTGTTCCTTGCCTGCGCTGGGGCCCCAGGTCCTTTGATCTTCACCAGACAAAGCTGACCCAACCCCTCCCAGGGCTCGCTGTCCTGGGGTCAGGTCTGGAGACCCCTCAGGCCAGTCCCTGATTGGGACCGCTCCTACCACCTCCTGCCCTCTTCCCTTCCCCTGCGTCCCCCACTGCCAGTCCCCAGGGTCATAGGGAGATGTCCCATTCTGGGACACGCCGAGCTCCCTCCCCTGCAACCCCTGCACTTGCACAGGCTGTTCCTGGACGGCTCTGTGCTCCCCCCACCCCCACCTCCACTGCCTGGAGATCCTGCTTCACCTCCCCCTCCCCTGGGGAGCCTGGGGGACTTGCCTCTGCTTTCAGGACCCTGCGTGCTCACCCTCCCGCCATGGCAGCGCTTATCACAGGTGTTTGGTGACTGTTGATGGCTGGCCCTCCCTGTCCACACCCCGCCCCAGCCCAGCACCCCTCCAGGATGGACACTGTGCCTTTCACCATTGCCTGGCCGCCTAGAAATCACTGCCAGGCCTCTGTCCTGGCCTTGGTGGCCGTGCACATGCCCAGGCTCCGGGACAGGGAGCAGTGCCCTGTCAGGGAGAATGCTGGGAGAGGCAGAGTTTCCCCAGCTGCAGGAAACAGCCCAGGGCCCCCTCTCTTGGACATGCAGGGGCACAGCACTGGGGAAGCAGGCAGGAATGTGCCTTTGGTCTCAGGTGGGCAGGCTGGGGAAGCCTGAGAGAGCCCAGGAGCCCACCTGGGCTGTTGTGTGGGTGTGCGAGGAGGGGAAGGGTCGGCGGCTGTCAGCTGAGGGGGAAGGGCTGCCTGGGGGCCTGTGCACACGGTATTTCCAGCGTTCCAGAATATGGCCTTCTCTAATCACCATCGACATTCCGTTCCATAGGCACTTGGGCTGACAGCTGGCCTTCTTTTAATAGCCACAAGTATTCTGGGTGACACCCTGACCTCGGGACATTCATGGTGCGCAACGCACTTGCAGCCCCTTCTCCCCAGGTATGTCTGCCTTCCCAGTCACACAGAGAGGCGCACAGCACCCACACGCAGTCACCGCACAGCTTGGAGCAGACACAAGGGGCACGCTTGGTCACATGTCCTGGGGTATCATAGTGACAGAGAGGTATTCAAGGCACATGGCCACACACTTACAGGAGTTATGCTCCTCTGGCTGCAGACCACACACCCCCATGGACACACAGCCAACAGCACCACCTGCTACATGCGTGCACAGTTAGAGTCACACAGTCACGCACAGACACACCCAAGAGCAGTCACAGACCACACGCAGGTCCTGCTCAGAGCATCTTGGAGTCACAGAGCCCCAGGTGGGCAAGGGGAAGCTGTGAGGTGCGGGGAGGGGACGATTCCCAGAGGGCATTGGGTCTGCCACGAGAACAAGCCCCCCCTTTCCTGGCCACTCCCTGGGCTACTTGCCTTACTCCCCACCCCTTTACAGATTGGCAGGCACTGGGCCCAGTCACCTTCCCTGGAGTCTCGGCTTCCTGTCCCTGGGCCTTGACTTCCATGTCCTCCAGGCCCTGACCATAGGGGCACCGCCCACTCACTCGAGGGGCGGCCTCCCATGTGGCCGCCGCCTCCATGTCCGTCCAGCCCTAGGGAAGGTGGAGAGTGCTTGTGAGGCGAGGGGACAGCCCGCAGCTTTGCTCCTGCCCCTCCTCCACCAGGGCCTCCTCCATTCTCCCCACAGATAATTCATCCCAGGAGGCCCATCACAACACCGTTTGCAGTTACTGGTCACCGAAGCCCTGCAAATTGTGCGTGTCTGTGCCAGGGTGTGTGTGTGTGTGCCTGCCCACATGTCTGCATGCACACGCTCCTAAGCACATGGGTGTTTATATTTCTGCGTAGGCGAGTGGTCCTCACGAGGGTCGAGGCCTATCTCTGGGTAGAAGGGTGGTCTTCACGAGGGTTGAGACCTCGTTAACAGATTAGATTTACTCCTCATTCATTGTTCGCTGCCGTGGTTCAGGTGAGGGAGGAACTGTCAGGGGTGTCACCCCTGACAGTTCCCCCCTCAGCCCCTCAACCAAGAGCCCCAGGGCCGGGGCACAGGGAAGAGGTCGCTGGCCGGTGCCTCAGTGGTGGCTCTCAGTGAGGCCCACAGAGGGCCCCGTGGGCAGAATGATGGAGGAGCACAAGTGTGGCCAGGGTCAGGTGCCCATGGTGCAGGGAGCTTTCTTGGGGACATCTGGGGGCAGCTGCAGGCCCAGGGAGGGCCGCCAGGCTGGAGGCTCCCAGGGCCAACACCAGCTGTGGGGTCAGCACCCATGCATGGACACACCCACTGCCCGCTGGCCAGTGCTGGATGTAGAGACAGACAACTGCTTTCCCTTCCACAGCAGGACATGAAGGCTCGCAGGGGTGAGGGGGCCTGCCCGAGCTCACACAGTGAGGACGTGCTAAGCTGAGGTCAAAGCCAGGTCTCCCAACTCAAGGGCCAGCCCTCCTTACGCTGCCTCCAGTTGGGCCCCAGGAGGAGAGGGCTGAGCGCTGAGAACCAGGGGCCCTGAGCTAGCTCTTGCTCTGTCTCTCTGAGGCCCATCCAGGGCCAGAAACGCTAATCTTTTCTGGCTGTAGCTCTAAAAAGATGGTGTCTGCAAGGAAATGAGCTGGCCTGGAGCTGGAAGCCCTCGGGCCAAGCGATGCCCTCTCTGGCCCCAGTGACCCCACCTGCTGGGGAGGAGGATGCACAGGAACCTCCATGGGGGGTGGGGAGGGACTCTTCCTGCTAGTGTCCCAGCGTCCTGAGGGTCCCTGAGTTCCAGAGGCAGGGCCCGTGCCTCCCGTCCCCAAGCCCGAGGGGTGGTTGAAGAAGGCACAGTCCGGTGTGAGCCAGTGATGGCCCACGTCCTTACCATGTCATTCTCAGAGCCCAGCGACTCCTGGCGCCTCCGTCCAGAGATCCAGCTGAGGTCGGAGGCCTGGCTGCTCAGCGTGGAGCGGTGGGTGGAGCGGTAGCTGGGGTAGGGGCGACTGTGCTGGCGCGACACGCCCAGCAGCACCCCCAGGCAGGGCAGGTGCTGGGCAATGGCCACCCTGCAGGGTCCACACGTCAGGTTAGGGTGACAGCCATGGAGAGTGGGGGCAGATGGACAGACTAAGACAGGGCTGATGTGGGGGACAGAGAGCTGCGGGGAAAGAGGAGAGGTTCCGACGCCAGGATTATGAGGACACAGAGAGACACCGGGAGCCGTGAGAAGTGATGAGGGTGGACAGACAGACGCTGGGCAGTAGGCTTGGAGGGACAGCCTGGGTAACAGGTTCAGCGGGTGGACGTCGGCTCCAGCGCTCAAGTGGCTGGCCCAAGACACATCTCTGGGAATGGGGACCAGGGACACTCCTGAGCAGCCTCTGTGCCTGATGGGCTTAGGCTGGCAGCTGGCTTCGGGAGGGCGGTGAGTGACTGACGCCACCAGGCAAGAGAGAGAACTAAGGCAGAGGCAGCCTGGCTGGCCTGCTATCAAGAGAGTGCCCGCCCAAAAACAACCAACGCCCGCCAGGGCCCTGGAGCCAGAGCTGAGAGCTCCCTGCTGTGATCTCTCCAGGATGTCGCCATCTGGAGGATTTGACTTTACAGGGTCAGTGCCACTGAGCAGCGTCCTGGCTGCCCCACGCCCTGGCTCCAAAGAGCCCATAGTTAGGATGGACATTGCCCAGGGAGCCTTGACGTCCCTCCAAGCTGAGCCCCTGGGACTCCAGACCCCACCCAGTGTTGCTGCTGCTCCCAGCTGCTAGTGGCCACCACCCAACGCATACACACGAGTCAGGAGAGACTGAGACCTCCGCCCCCATCTGCAGGCCCAGGCCCTCTGGGCCCAGGGGTGTGGCCCTGGGGTCAGGGAGAGTGCTGCACCTGTACTTGGGGTGGGTGATGGCATAAATGATGGGGTTGTGGATGGCAGAGGCCTTGGCGATGACAGCCGGCACCGAACTCATGTAGGGCGTCAGGACGTGCGCGTACCTAGGGCAGAGAAGGTGCGGTCCCCATGCCAGCTGGCTCTCCTGATGAACCTTCTTCCTTTGGGCCAGGCCCTGCCAAGGCCCAAACCCTGACCCGGCCCAAACCAGCCCAGCTAAGTCGCTCCACAGGGAGGGACTGGGAGCGCTCGATCGGAAGTGAGTGGGAGGGAGCTGGGGGTAGTTGAGGGCGCTGCTCCGAGGAAGATGCGCCAGGCCTGGGGGGAGGTTCGCCAGGTCCACTATCCTTTGGAGCCTGCGCTGCTGGCAATACCTCCCCTTTCCCCACGTTGGCCTGGCCTCAGACCCTCTGCCCAGCTCTTCCCACACCCTTCCCCAGCCCTGATGCCCACTGCTCCCCCAGATCTTGTACAGAAACCCCACAGTAGGGCCCGAAGGGGACCGCGCCATTCCTACACAAGATCCCATACTCAAACGCTTGCAAGGTTTGATAGCCCTCACTGTCCCCAAAGTGCTGCTGAAGTCTAGCTTCCATCCCTGCTGCCACAGATGTCTAAGTCCCCAGACTCGAGCCACAAAGGACGAGAAGACAGCTCTCAGGGATCCATTCCTGGAGGTAAGCAGCACCCCTGGCTACACGCCCACAGCTGGGCAAAGAGGGAACCGAAACCTTGGGAGAGCTACATGTTCCCAAGCGGGCTGGCAGCCCCTCAGGCCAAATCCAGCATGGCCTGGCGCTCCCCCTGCATGTGGCCTAGTGCCTCCAGGAACTGGCAGCCTCCCACCCTCTCTCCGAAGGGAGAACAAAGCTGCAAGGCTGGACTTAGGGTATGAGGGCACCTGGCTCAGGTTGGGTGGGTGGGAGTGGCTGCCCAGGGTTCCCGCCCCCTCCCCCCACCCAGCCTCTGCCCTAGTGCCCTGGGCCCCTTGGCCTCTGCTCACCCAGCAAAGGCCACCAGAGCCACAGCAGAGTAGGGGGCCCAGGAGAGCACGAAGAGGAGGATGACCAGCAGCATGATCTTGGCCATCTTCCACTCGTTCTGTAGCCGCTGCTGCTGCCGCGGGGACTCACTGGTGCCCTTGAAGGCCCCGAAGGTCTGGAGAGCCCTGGGAAGGGCGCGTAGTACGGGTCTGACCCCACTCGGGTTGCAGCGAGTGCCAGCGTCATGATTATTGCCCAGGAGCCTCCCTGGACCACCCTTGGGGACACTCAAGAGGAGGTCATTCCTTCCAGCACAGGTACCCGATTTCTAGAAAGTTCCCCATGACATAGGGCCTCAGCTGCCTTTCTGTGGTTCTACCTGTGGCACCATCTCCGTCCCCTCAGCCCTGGCTAAAAGCACCCCTCCAGAAGGCCTTGTTTCCTGAGCCTTCCCCAGGCACCCCTACCCATAAGCACGTGCTCAGCTTGTCTTCACTGCCTGGAGCAGGGGCGCTCTGGTGGGCGGACGCAGACCTGAGTGGTGGGGCGGGGCCGCCTAGCCCCTCCTCCACGCCCACTCTTACCGTCCTGTCTCTCGGATGGCCCTGAAGATGAAGATATAGCAGTAGATGATGACAAGCAGGGGCAGGAAGAACACGAAGCAACAGAGAAGCATGGTGTAGGCGCGGACGGACGGGGTGAAGGTCATGTAGTCCCAGGAACAGGATGTCAGCAGCCCCTCAGGCACGTAGGCACCTGGGAGCCAGGGGAGGCGCTCAGCCTTGAGGGCGGTGCTGACTAGGGGCTTTGTATGTGGAGTTTGGGGTGCCCAAACACAGCCCTGGCCCCAGCCCCAGCCCTGCCTGGGGCGGTTGGGGGACCTGGAAGGGACCTTTCCAAGCTGGCTCTGGCAGGGACACCAGCTCAGGAGACAGCAGGTAAAGCCCACTGCTGCCCATTTTTGCTAGATTGAAGCAGAGGCCTCATCATAGTCCAGGGTCAGGCTCACCAAGCCTTCAGCCAGCAGGCTGGCTTGCCCCCGAGGGGCTGGCGCCTGGCCGCTCCCTCCTCTGCCTGCTGAGACTCGCACCCAGCCCCTGCCCAGTCTGACTCATTACAAACCCAGCCTCAGCTGCACCTGCCACTTCACCCACACAGGAACCCTCTGTATTTGGGGACGGTCTGCCCAAGGGGATCCTTTGGCTCTGATGGGGCAGCCTCAGTTTCTCCTGCTGCTAGTCATGTCCCCTGAATGTCTATCCGACTCGAGGCTCAGGTGGTCCCTGGGCCCCTCTTGCAGCTGGCTGACCCACGTTCACCTACGTCCCCTTGAACGTGCCCCTCCCAGCCTACCCGCCCCTCTCCCAATGCCACCAGCCCACTCACTCCAGCCAAAGAAGGGTGGCAGACTCCAGGCCAGGGCATAGAGCCAGACGCCCAGCAGGACAAGCCCCGCCCGTCTCTTGGATGCCACGCCGATAGTGGCCAATGGGCGTGTGATCACCAGGTAGCGGTCCAGGGCGATGGCCATCAGCGTGATCATGGAGGAGATGCCAAAGAGAGCCCCACAGAAGGCATAGAACTCGCAGCCTGTGGGCACAGCCCCCGGCCCTGAGTCTTCTGGAGGGAGGGTCTGGGGATGGAGTGTACTGGGCTCCAGCCCTCACCTCGCGGGAAGAGAGGCCCAAGCACTCTCCACCCTGTCCACTTGCCACATCTGGCGGAGGCCGCAGGACCAGAACCCAAGTTTTCCCTTCTTGCTCCCTCAGCGGACGGAGGGCAGCTACCGACTCTCGGCCTGAGAAGAGCCTGTCCCTTCATCTGGGCCACCCGCCACTGTGGGCGTCCCAGTCCGTCCACGCCTCCCTCCTCCCTCCAGCTAAAGGGAGCCCCGAGTGTCTACCTGCCTCCCCAAAGAGCCACCGCTTATAGAGGCTGCTGGCGAAGAAGACAGGGGCCTGGCTGACGGACATGAGGAGGTCGCTGACTGCGAGGTTGATAACGAACATGTTGGCAGGCGTCCTGAGGCTCCTGCTCCTGTGAGAGTCGGAAGCTGTTAGGAGGGGCTTCCCAGCACCTCTGCGCTCACCCCCACCACGCATGTGCACACGCATGCCACACACCCACGTGTGCACACACATGCTACACATGCATGCACACGTGTGCATGCAGACACAAGCTGCCAGGACACAGACTTGTCCCACTGCCCAGCAGGTGCCAGCCGAGCAGCGGTTGAACCCAGAGGCAGGGACTGAGTGGGAGCCCCCAAGGCGTCCCCTCAGAACGAAGTGGGACAGCCATGCCTCTCCAGAACCTGGCTCTTAGGTCTGGGCTGTTTCCGAGTCTCGTCCTCTGGATCCCTCTGCATGACTCGCCCCCTCTCCTTGGACAAACCTCGTTTCCCAGAATCCCTCCAGGCCGAGGTCTCCCTAGTGGCGTCAGCCCAGCTCCTCCTCCTGCATGCCCTTACTGTGCCTTCCCGAGGCTTCTCATGCCTCCCTCCTCCGGCACCCCTCCCATCTCCGTCTTCCAGGGTCGTGTCCGGCCTGGGCCTTCCGGCTGCAGCTGTCTGTAGTCCTCGCTCTTGGGGGTGGCAAGGGGCAGAGGAGCTGACGGCGGCGTACCACGGGCCAGACACTGTCACCAACTGCATCTCCTGTATCATCCATTTTTGCATCTTCCCTGAAGGAGGCACTATTGTACCCACTTTCCAGATAAGAACACTCCTGAGGCACCCACTTGTAAAGTGACTTGCTCCAGATCACAAAACCCAGTGAGTGGCACAGCAAGGGTGGGAACGCTCATTTGCGGGATCACCATAGTGACTCCATGAACTAAATCACAATTCCATTTTGCAGATAAGAAAAGCGAGCTCAAAGAGCAGAAATGAGGTGCCCACTCCTGCAGCCAGCAGGTGGTACAGCTGGGGGCTGTGTGACCCTGAGGTCTGCGCTCACTTCTCCGCCTGTCTGTCTCAGCCGTTCAGCCCACCAGGGGGACAGAGGGGAGAGAAGTTGGGGGTGGTTTCCAGGGGTGTTTGAGGGGCTTAAGGATCCTGGTACCCAGGGCTGTCTTCAAGGCAGAGGGAGAATGTCCCCTAGGGCAGGTGAGAGCAGGGCAGAATGGGCAGAGACCCAAGAGTCCTGGGGACACCTGCCCTCCATAGAGGGTATGTCTGGGCCCCAATTGGCATGTGCCATTCAAGCTTCCCTGGACCATGTTTTGGCCCCTTCCCTGGCCTTGAGGAAAGCTTGGGCCTGAGACCATCAAGGGTGTGGCCCTGCCCTCCCCGCCTAACCTCAACGGTGCCCTGGCCAGAGCTGGTACCAATGTTCCTGCCCTCATGTTCCGCCCTGTCTTGGCGTGGCTGCCACCCTCAGTGCCCTGGGCCCAGAGCCACCAACCAGCCACCTGCAGAAGGTGTAGATGACCGTCAGGTTGCCCAGAATCCCTGTGAGCCCCACCAGCAAGATCACCGTGCCCAAGGTATAGTGGGCGTGGTCTGGAACATCAGCCGTGGGGAAGGGGACCCAGGCAGCAGCCCGAGCCCCAGCTGCCTGCAGAGAGACAGAGAAATGAGGAATCACACTATCCCCTGTCACCTTCAAAAAGCTCTGAGAAGGCAGAGTTGGGATTCCTAATAGGGCAGATGGGGAAAATGAAGCTCAAAGCGGCAAAGCTACTTGCCTACACAGCTGGCAAGTCGCCAAGCAGAGTGGAAATGCAACTTTAGGAAGTGTCTTTCTAAAGTGGAGCCCAAGCACCTACACCATGGCATAGAGGCACAAGCCTTCTAGGAGCGGGCCCAGATCACCCGCTGGAGGCTGGTGGGACAGACAGATATGTGCCTGGCAAGCAGGGACATGGCTCGGGTAACCCTATCTTTCCTTGAGGAGAAGCCAGAGCCAGCTCCTGGGTCCTCCATATTCCAAGTGCCCTCTCCAGATGCGGGGGTGGGGGAGTTGGGTGGAGCCCTCTTCTCAGGAGTCCCGCACCCCACCAAGCCTTAAAGGAGAGGTTGCCTTCCCCATAGCTTGACTGGGCGGGGCTGGCCTTGATGCCTGGCACAAGAGAGGGAAAGAATGCCCTTTAGAAAGAAAGCTTGGGCCTCCCACGGTCACTGAAGGGAGGTCATGACCCTAAGAGGTGAGTACAGAGGCATTTAAATGCCCCTCCCACCCTAATCCCTTTCTGGGGAAGAGGCGGCAGCCTAGTCTCTGTCCTGCACTGGGGGCCCCTATAGCTGCCAGAGCCTTCTCATCCTTTCCAGGACCTGGAACAGCACCCCAGCATCCTGAGGGTGCCCTCAGCCCTCCTCAAGGAACAGTGGGGTTGGTGGAGTATGGTCCTAGCCCTGGCTAGGTGATGGAGGCAGCAGAAGGCACCCAACACCTCACTGTGGGCTGGACAGATCCAGAGGCCTAGGTTATGCCCACCTCTCTGGAAGGCTCCATGGGCATCCGAGCAACTTCTGAAGGGAGTGGATGCAGCCAAGGACAGGTCTGGCCATTGCAGCCCCCGTGCTCAGGGCTGGCCATTGTAGTCCTCGGATGCTGTCCAGCGGGGAGGACACCGCCTGCACTCTCCTCTCCTGTCCCCTTTGTGTTGGGCAGGCTCAGAGAGGTCCAATAATGTGCCCAGGGCCCCACGCAGAACTCGGCCCTTCCCCATCTGCCTGTCAAAGCCCCAGTGCGTGCCCAGGAGGGGGACCAGAAGGGGGCAAGGAAGCCTCTGTGCACGCACACGCTCGCCCAGGCTTACCGTGGGGCTGGTGGGCAGCAGCTGGCCCAGGCTGGAGATGCTGCTCTGGGAGCTGTCCCCCTTGCTGGGCAGGGCTGGGGTAGCCACACAGCTGGGCTCCTGGGCTGGACTTGGCGGCACTCTTGGCCCTGAAGGAGGATTCATTCCGAGTTCCGGTGCTCCTTGTTTGAGCCCACAGAGAAGTCAAGGGCACGGGGAGCTCAGGACTCTAGCTGGGCCCAGCCTCCCAAGGTCCCTCCATCCACAGCAGCCCTGCTCAGCCCGCTGCCTGCTCCCAACCTGGAGCTGCTCTGTGTCTGGCGAAGCGCAAAGCATTGAGTGTCACAATTATGGTGACTCACAGCCACAAGGGCCATCCCCACCTTTGAGTAGCGGCGTGGGGAGCTGCACATGCTCCGTCCAAGGTCCCTGGGTGTCTGTCTGCAAAGGTCTGATGATGGTAGCGTGAATGTGTGTGTGTCTCGGGGGGGATTGCTGGGCTTGGGCTCCTGGACATTGGGCAGAAGGCTTTATCCTCCACTCTGACCAGTGTCTGCTCTGTTTCTTCCCTGAATGCAGCAAGAACAGCCTCGGCCACCCCTGACCCCCTAGAGCCGTCCGTGGGCAGGCGAGCCTGTGCAGCATGGCCTCCCCTTTCCATGGTGGGCCCTACCCCCACGTCTGGCCCCCGTGAGTCCATGGCATCCTCACAACCACCCTGCACAGAGCCAAGGCCGGTCACCCCATTCGCAGGTGAAGGGGATGAGCCGGGATGTAGCAGTCAGGGTGAGATCAGATCCAAGGCATTTTTTGTTTGCTGTTGTTTTATAAAAAACTTTTCAATGCAAGTATAAAGATTAAAAAAAAGAAACCCACTGGAAGAGACCTGGGAACTCACCCAGGCTTGCAGGCCTGACGCCAGATGACCGAATGTCAGGTAGAGGGGACGCCAGGCCTGGACCTCCCCCCCTCTTGCAGCAGGCAGCAGGGGCTGGCAGTGGGGAGCCTGGGGCTGGGGAGGAAGGAGGCTGGGCACTCTTTCCAGAAGGGCTGCTCCGCTGGGCCCGCCACGGGCCGCATTCTGGGGGGCTGAGTGGGCAGGGTCTGCCGGGCTTCCAGGGACGTCCTACTTGGGGCCGTGTCCTGAGACACTGCTGCGATGCGTGCGGCCCTGGAGTGGAAAGACATGCAGCTCCTCTCCCCGGGGTCCCCCCAGTTTTTGCAAACGGTTCTCCTAGAGCCCCAGGTGGGCTGGGGGCACGCTTCCAGCAGCTGCCGCCCGCAGACAGATTTTCTCCTGAGGCCCCTCTGCCGCAGGCCTTTGGCTCCCAGGCGCTCACTGAGGGGTGGGTGAGGCTGAGGGACCGGCTTTGCTTTCTGTCCTTAAGGTCAGTGTGGACGTGCCAGGTGGACGTGCCAGCTGCTTGCTTTTGAATACAAGGGTTTTCCAGTTCCTCTCGGCTGGGAGCAATTCTGAGTGGACACAGAGTCCCATTCAACATCCGACCCCACTTTCCGACCTGACGTAGCTGGCGGGGGTGCGGGGGGTCCAGGGAAGTGTTTGTCAGGTAGACAGGCCAAGGAGTCACACTCCAGGGCGCCACAGGCCTCAAAGCAGCATCTCAGAGAAAGGCCCAAGAATCGAATCCCTCATGCTCCCTTGACAGGGTCCTTTCTCCATGGCTGACACTGCACAGCAGCCCTTGTGGGTGACAGGTGACACTGAGATCTCCTCAGGGTGCCCCCTTCTGTGCTCCTACCCTTCTGGGGAGGGCTCCCCATGACCCTGCGCTCCCTATCTCTGCACCCTCAGCCACCTGGCAGCTCCCCTGCCTGGAGCCTGCTGTCCAGCTGGGCCAGGAGGGCTGGGCGGGCCTCCTCAGCCTCCAGCTGTCCCCTCCGGCCACCGCTGCCCAAGCTGTCCTGGCTACAAGCCATGGCCCAGGGTGGGGGAACCCGTGGCCTTCTATCCCACTCCTTGGACCAGGTGGGTCCTGTCCTCCCGGGTACCTGGCTGTGTACCCTCCCCTGGGCACTACTACTGCCCCCCAGGCTTGGCCCAGGGTGGGGCCCAGCCTCTCAATGCCCCTCCTGGCCACCCCATGGCTGTCCCATGGGCCTGCGCCATCCACGAATCTCAGCGCAGGCACGGGCGGGGAGGGTCCGCACAGCCCCCACGCTGGCTAGTGCCCACAGTCTCGGAGACAGGCCCGGGTATCTCCTCCCCTCCCAGTGCCTGTCCCGCCGGCAGCCTGACCTCAGCACTCTGTGCCAGGGTGTCCTGTGGCCCCAGGGACCCCCGTGCTGACAGCAGAGCTGGGGCACCCACACCCATCTCCTCTCTCCTGGTTCCCCCTTTCCTCCGGCCGCTCCCTTACAGCCCCTGCCTGCTGCAGCCCTGAAGGAAACACGAAGTCCCGTCAGAGGACCCTGTGCTCAACCCCCTGTCTCTTAAGACAGAGCCAGAGCCCTAGTGTGGCGAGTGGGTGACGGGGGATATTACAATGTCACCTGGAATGAGAGGATAGAAAGAGGGTTTTACGGGGAAACTAAAACACCGGGGGTCAGCAGGAGGAGGCATACTGTCCCATCTTAGTATCTGTGTGCACAGGCCAGGCTGCTGTCACTCCACAGGGGCTGAGGGTCCCCCAGAGACCTGTCCTCGCTGCAGGACAGCCTTGTTGGCGGAATGAGCAGCCATGCTGAGCACCAGGCAGTCTGCGTGTGGCCGCCAGCCCCTGGGGATGTGTCTGAGAGCACCAGCGGCCAGCACCTGGAGACCTTGCTGGAAGCTGGATTCAGGCTGCAGGGAAAGGGGATACTGATGGCTCGGGAAGTCACGTTCCGGTGCAGCCTCTCTTTCTGGAAGGGAAGAGCCACTGACCCTGCCTAGCTCCGTGCCTAGCAACCAGGCTGGCTTCCTCTCTGGCCACCAAAAGCACACAGTCCCTCTGGTCACCCAGCCTCTGCCACACACTGCTCCCGAAACCTGCCCCTGTCTCCTGCTGTGGGTCTCAGCTCAAGCACCACCTCATCGAGGCTGCCCTATCCATCCTGTGAAACACTCACCAGTGATGTCCTTTACAGTGACTGTCATCTCACTACGTCTGTCCGCCTCCCCGGAACGCAAACAGGTCTGTTTTGTTCTCGTTTGCAGCCGCTGCCCAGCAGAGCGCCGCCGGACACATTGTATCAGGGAAACCAAAATATCCCCGGTCCTTGCTTCTCAAAGGGTGGTCAAGGACTGGCCGCATCAGCGTTCCCTGGAGCTTGTTAGAAGTGCAGCCTCCCCAGACCTACTGACTCAGGGGGTCCATCCTCATGACAGAGGGGACAGAAGCTGGCCCAGACTCTTGGGAGAACTTTCCGGGTTAGTAACAGGTGGTGGAAGAGCCAGTTTGAGGGGAACACTGAGGCAACCAAGAGATTAGTGACCGTAGGACACACTGCCACACCCAAGGCTAGAAGGGCCACAGGACCAAGGCGTTGGTGCGATTCCAGGGGCTGGGGCTGTCCAGCAGGTGTCACAGAGGGGGGACACTCCTGAGGCATTGTGGTTGCTGGAAAGGGGTGTAGGCCCACACTACCCCCTCTCTGATCTTCTGCCTCCTGCAGGTGGCCCACCATGTTCAAGCCCACCTGGAAGCCTGCTGAGGGGGCTGGAGAGATGGGGTTCCCTGCAACAGAGAGCAGAGCAGGGGAAAGGGGACAGAGCACACAGCAGCTGTCCCCACACACATGCCTTTCCCTCCATCAACCCCCACCTTCACCTGCTGCCATAGCCAGCAGAGCGTGTAGGCGCCCCCTGCGCTGTGGCCGGCAGGTCAGCCCTGTGGTGCTCTTGTGTGGGCAGCAGTGGTGGCTCTGCCCCGCCAGCCTCTGTGGTGCCCCTGGATCAGCCCAGCCACTCTTCTGCTCAGCTTGGCCTTGGAGTCCACAGGCGATTGTACGCATCCCCCTGCCGCCACGCCAGGGAGACGCACGGGGCCAAGGGTGCACAGCGGTATGTGCAGTCCTCACCCAGAGGCTGCCCTGACTCCGCCTGCTCTTCGCACCTCTCTGGCAAGGCTAGGGGTGGGAAAAGCTTTCCTGCCCCTCAACCTCAGGGGAGTAGCAGGGCCAGGCAGGGGCAGGGCTGGTGGGGGCAGGGAGCTCGCTGTTTAATGTCAGACCAGACAGGATTGAGGAGCAGTTCAGTGGAGGGCCCGCAGCAGACACATAGCTGCCTTTGGGGACGCTGGAATCAACCAGCCATTGTGGACACTGCCGCTGGGCCCCCCTGCACCACTGATGGTGACTTTACTTACAGGCCTTCGGGCCCCAGAATTCCTGTCCTTTGTAGAAAAGTCCTGAAAGCCCTTGCAAAACAAGCTGACAGAAAAGCCAGGAGGGCAAGAGGCTCCTGGCCCCTGTGTTTCTGTATTTCTGGCCACAGCACCCAGCATCCAGGGAGGCAGGGCCCCCCCACCCCCACCCTCCGGCCCAGCCCAGCCCAGTAAGCAGCACCGCAATGCCAGTTCCCTGCCACGCCCACCTCGTCCACTTCTGGGGGTCAGTTTCCTCATTCTGGGGCTGGCAGAGGCTATCGGCTTACCCAGGGACTCCTGGGAGACTCCTAGGAGCTGGTACCAGGGGAATATTAAATGTCTTGACCAGCATAGTCCCACAGGCACCAGGCCAGCAGCTCACCTGGGGCCTCCCTCGCCTGGCAAACCCTGGCTTGATGGGACCCTCTGCCCGTGGCCTGAGGGGAGGGACTAGAAACGCAGAAACTCAGAAAACCCCTACTTTTCTGCTGCCTTACTCCACAGAACAGCACGTGCAGCTCTGCCCTTTTTCCTGCCTTGGGCCTGGAGATGCCATCTCTCCTGCCCCCACGCCCACCGGGAGCCAGCCATGTGACCAGTGGTCCTGCTAATGCTCCGAACTCCTTTGGGTCCCTGTGACCCAGCCCTCCTCTCTGTGGCTCCTCCCCACTCTCACTGGTACTGAGGTTGGGGAGGTGCTCCCACTGAGTTCCTTCCTGTGCAGCCTGCGCTAGACAGAGGGAGCAGGAACGGGGACAGCCATGGCCCGAGGGGCCAGAGAGTCTACACAGCATGGGAGGCTGTTTCCTGTCCCTACAGGAGCACCTATGTCACCTCCTAGTTTCCCACTGCTGCTGCCCGCACTCCTGGCCTGGGATGCTGGCCCTGGGTACCCAGGGATGTCCCAGTGCTGGTCCTGCCTGGCCCATGTGTGGTCTCAGTGAGTCCAGTCTGAGAGGCTCCAGTGTCATACCCATCTGAGTGCCAT